TTGTTTCAAAGAGTTATACTTATAATTATAATATTTAATATAATTTATATTACTTATAGCTTTAATATAAAATTTATAAAGTATAACTAATAACTAGTATAAGTTATTATAGGTCTTAGTAGGTAGTAAGTATTATATATATGCGTTTTAGCCTAATAAAATACTAATTTAAATAAGATTCTAAAGAATTCATAAAAGTTAAATAAATAAGTATATAAAAATAAGAAATAGTTTAGCTAATCCCTAAAAATTAAGTAATTAGTTAAGTTCTATTACTTATATAGGTATTTAAATATAAATTTAAAAGTTTAAAGCATAAATTTATATTTAAGGTAATTTATAATAGCTAGAATCTAATAATACTTATATAGCTACTTTTATAAGGTATTCTTTTTAAATTTTAATAGTAACAACCGCTAAATTTAACCTTAAAATAAGATAGCTTAATACGGTTAATATATTTATAAATAATATACTTAATAAAGATATATATATTTAATTCCTAGATAACTATTACCGCAGATAATAGGTTTTAAAACTACTATAAGTATTATATAAATTAAGATAGTTATTACTTTTATAGTAGAAAAACCTAATTATAGCTTTTAAAAACTTAGCTTTAAATAAAGCTAAGAGAAGCTATACCTTTTTATAAATAGCTAGCTTATTATTTTCTTTTTTATTAATAATATTATTCTAATATATTATTCTAAATACTAAAATACTATAAAAAAATTTATTATTAAACTAAAAACCTAATATTAAATAAAAAACCTAAGAGAACTTAAGTAGTTTTTAGGTATTTATAGTCTTAAGAAATAAAGCAGCTTATAAGCTATAGCTCTGCTAGGGTTTATATATTAAAAAGATTGTAAACTAATATAAGATTACTAAGCGTAATTAATTCAAAGGATAATAACATCGCCGCGGACGGGTTATTCTCAGTTCCGGTCGGCAACACGACAGGATTGGGCGCCAAGGACATGCAGCATCTCAACTGCGTTGGCGTGACACTCACCATCGGCTTTGGTGCAGATAATCTTCGATTCCACTCGGTTGCCCTCCATGGTGAAACATTTTAAAGGTCTCTCTAGGCTGGTAAAGCCCGTGTAACAGTCTCGGAGCTGTCAAGAACAAGTTGTTCATTTATGCCTCCGCGATATTATGGAGCTAATCGTACAAGCGCGCCACAACCTCGAAGGATACTTTGGGTGAGGATTCGGTAAGAGGAGCCCAGAAGCAGGATTCCTTTTCCGCGTGGCGAACTTTGCGGCTGGAGTGAAAAGTAACAGTGATCTAGCGGAGTCACATACGTAACAGCATAGATCGCTCTTAAGGCAGTTCTACAGAAGCAAAGCAATGGCATCGGGCAATAATTCGACCTAGGATTCATTGATAGTGTCAATTTTGAGCTCTCTCAGAAGAGGTACCATATGGGCACCCCGGAGGATCAAAGCCTCCAGAGAGGGTGAGAAGACATCTCCGCTGAAGATGGTGTAAGGAGTCAGGTGGGCGTGCTTCTTGCGATACAGTTGCAACTGCGTCCAAAACTGGGCGATTCTCCCTTGCTTGGAAATATGGTACTGTAGGTCCCGTGAATATGGAGCCACAGGCAGCTTGAGGAGTCGCACCTACAACGTCATTGAAATGCAAGAATACCAGTTCCGTGAGAGCCATGGCTATAATTCTGCGAATGCAGCCCGGGGATTATGCGACATGTAAATCGCGGCTATTGTGAGTTCTGGAAAAATTTTGATGCTGGCCAGACGTTATGACGCACTACCCAGCAAGCAATAGTCCTTTTAGCCCCTAGAAAATAAAAATATAAATAGAAAAACTTTTCAAGTTTATTTTAATTAAATATAACGTTTATTATAGCTATATATTGGCTGTATTATAGTGTAATGTAACTAATTGTCATGTAACTAATTTTTACTTGTACCCTACCCTCAGCGCTCTTCCGATCTGTTTGCGTTAGGTGCGGCAGCTGTGGCTTTATATTGACTTTGTGGCATGCATGCATTTATTGGCTGGTTTAGGGTTGAGCGCCTAGTCGTCGTCGCGCGCTTTAGCACGACACGTCTGCTTGACAGCTTTTTTTTTACAAACACCGTTTTCCTCTGGTCAGCTGAATCAAGCATTAGCTGCGACTGCAAACGAACGCTCACTACACCGCGGAAACTTGTGCACCTGACCAAGACATTGTATGTTTCCACTCTATTGCTTCAATTTAACGAAACAAGTCATGGCTACTACGAGGCGCATCAAATCCCTAGCGGTTGGCAAGTCTGTTAACTTGCATCTACTAAAATACTCGGCCGAGGAATTTCGACAATCCCAACCATCTACGTCTGGACGGCCGTACAATAAAGTCATCGTAGGAGCAGCCATTCTTCGCCGTGCGTTAAACTCAATCTCTTTGAACTCGCCACGCATTCTTCTCCTGAAGAGATCCGCTCATGAGCCTTATTTCCCCAACGTCTTCGAACTTCCCAGCGGGAAAGTCGATCCAGATGATTCGACCCTGAAGCATGCCCTTGCCCGCGAGGTGAAAGAAGAAACAGGCTTAGATGTCACAGCGATCCTCGCCGAGCTGAACCCAATGATATACACGACTGAGAAAACCGTCTTGGACGATACCAAAGGAGAAGTCCTTGTTTCAAAGAGTGCTATTCAGCTCAATTACGTGGTTTCGGCTTCTGATGACACAGTGGAGCTGAGTGCGGAAGAACATTCGGAGAGCCGTTGGGTCACAGAGGGAGAGTTGATTGGGCTGGACATTACATGTGCGATGAGAGTGGTTATTCGGGAAGCGTTCCAGTGGGCAACTAACTAGCGACTCAAGAACAGGTCCTTACAGCCATTAACTGGTCACACCATAGTATGGTGGGAAAAGTTTAAATCTTGACAACCAAGGTGGGAAGGCTGGGGTTCGCATGAATTTTGGAAGGGACATAGAATCTGGCTGCAAATATAATTAACGTCGTAACTCTAACCGTCAACGCAATTTCCTCATACTAGGAATATTAAGCGGTGGAGATTAGGGCTTGGTCTTATGATTAACACCGCACTCGAATCTCCCCACAGCTGAATGAGGAAGTACGCATTTCGACTGAATTTGCAGTGAATATCTCCCATCTTTTGCATTAAAACAGGTGTTCAATTTTGTTGGAATGTTAATGACTCAATGTACGCAGCCACACTGTATAATGTATACTGGTTAGTATATTTAGTAGGGCTTCTCCCACTGTCGTGTCAAATCAAGTCGTCAACTCCACAATCATTGTCAACAAATTTAGATCCTCCCGTATAAAGCTGCCTGGCACCAGAGGAAAGGTTTCCACAAGGTACCAGTTGCCAACTGGCAAATCCAAGCCGGCATTTCAGTGGTGTCAGCGCTTTTACCGAAAAGCTATGCCAGGAAGCCGAACACTCACGTAGTCGCCGTTTTTGGTAAACATGTGTTACACGTTTAGACTCTAGTAAGTATAAAATATATATATTAATAAGTTTATAAGTAATTATAAAAGAAATAATTATATATACTCTTATTTATAAGTATATTATATTATTTAGGTAATTATATTTTATTAACTCTTATACGTGTAACTTATTAATATTATTAACTTTTTTTTCCTTTATTATATATTACTTTTTTAGCTATAATTATATTTTAATTAATATTATACTACTTTAAAAGTAAATATTACTATAGGAGTATTTAAGTATTTAAAATATACTAGATACTTTCTAGTAGTAATTATTAGGCTTTTTTTACCTGCTTTTAGTAGCTTTTAATATAAAGTTATTATTTCTTTAAAAAATGATTAAAGCTATTTTTAAGTTATATAATTACCTTAAAAATTAATAATAAAAAGTTACCTTTATAGCGTAGTAGTTAAGCGTTATAAAACCCTATTTAGTTTATAGAAAGCTAGTTTAAACCTAGCTAGAAATACTTTTAATTTTTAGCTTAATTACTTAAAAAAAAAGTTAACTTATATTCTTAATTATATAACTTTAAGAGTAAACTTATACTAACTTACCTAAAAATTAGCTTATAATACTCAGAGCATTGGAAGTAGTGTAGTTTTGTATTTTTTAGTGAATTTTAGTGTAGTGTAGTGTAGTGTAGTTTTACTACACTACATTACATTTTAAAAATTAGTGTAATATATAGTATTAATTAATTTATAAGCTATTATTAGCTAATATACTTAGTAAGCTAGAATAGAGCTAAATTTACTTACTAATATTAGTATTAATAAGCAGGGATTAGCTAGCTTAAATAAGCTAAAAACAGGGATTAAAAAACTAATAAAAATA